GCGTCCTCCCTTCCCTTCGTCCCGTGAGCTCTTCCCGTAACCGTCGATCATCGCCCCTCAGCTGACCCTCTTTTCTCCTCACCTCTCGTCTCGTATCCAGGTTAGTCATGGTGTAGCTTGTTTTACTCATGCATATAATCGGTATAATGTTATTGCATCATAATACTTCATTTATCATTCGTCCTTCAATTGAAGTTTGTATCCGTCATTTTGTATCCGTGTGGCATAAAGGTAGCATCTTATTATTTTTTGCGTGGTCAAGCGGAATTAACCCCGAGAGTATTTCGGACACTTTGTAGTTGGGCGTTTGGTCCGGCGTTAGGAAACCAGGCCTTTTACAGCCAGCAGCAGGACTTCCAGCACTCCTCGGTACGGCATGTCTCCTTAGGGGTGTGTGGGCACCCAAATATCCACGTTCTGGCGTGGTCGGGGTGCGAAAACGCCGATGCAGACAGCAGGAGGCCCCTCGTCACGACACATCTCGTCGCCTTCGTCTAACACTCCCTTAACCGCCGTCTTTCCCTGTGAAACTCGTCCTCCCCCCTTTTACTTCTTTTTTGAATCTCTGTATTTCTTTTTATTCGTAGGTTTTAAACTTTCTTCAATATTTTCGCACTATGGACCGAATCTATCAATTTCCGTCAAAAAACTGGTACCCAAAATTTATTGTGAACTGTGCCTTCAGAATAACCACCCAGGTGCAACCGACGTGGTGAGGGCATTACTGGGGGAGAAAGTTCAATCCTCTTCAGCGGAGAAGTGCACTTGTACTACTCAACCTCAGCAACTCAACCTCCAAGCAAAACGGGTCGCGAGTCAGAAGAAATCAAACTTAGTTCAGCACGAAGAAAGACGTTCGCAACTGTGTGTCGCTATGTATTATGTCATGTGGAAAGTATAACCCCACCTCAAGATGCGCAGTAACTGTGATGTCGTTTCACTCAAGTCAATAGTGGAAGAGTAAGGTCCTGATGATGAAATAACATCAGTTGACTGGAAAAAGTTCTGTCTAGAGGAGGAAGAGAAATGACGTTGGTCAAAGGATTTCATTACCCTAATCATCACGCTAAGCCAGCAAAAAGGGCTGAACATTCTGCACATAAAGGGATTGCAGTAGGCGACACTCACCTTATCAAGAATCAGAAAGAAGGCGGCAACAGCTTATTGCCTAATACGACTGCATTTTACATTTAAGTATATGGACTTGTACCTAATTCTGCCGAAAGCATTCATTTTATTATTAACAATCCTGTTAGTGAGTGAGGTGACATCGAAAGAGGTGGGTATGCCATGATGTGGGCGGTTCTCTGATTAGTTTCGATCGTTTGCTGGAGAGATCAAACGCTGTCGGATATTGTAAAACATCTCGGATTGCGTATGGGAAGACGATTAGAGCGTGCGGTTCTCTCTTGAGAATTTGATAGTACTGTTGCATTGTTGGTTCAAAACTGCTAGATATCTTTTGCATAATGACTTGTAAGTAATATTACAACGTGAGACACTCTACAAATACTAATTTGAAGTCACAAAAAAAGTTATATTTGTCGACCATATTCATAGAAAGATGACCGATTGCATTGTCACTGAACTCCTAAGAAAGGAAATACAGTGGGACATCTTCAAATCATCACAACACATAACTATCAAAAAATACAATGTAAGATTTTTTCTTTCATTTTTTGTTTAAGTTCCAAGATTTAACGCGAAATTAGTAAAAGTAGATTAAAAGGTTGGTAAACAATATATCTGTCTACTAGAGGGTTCAAACACGCTGAGGAAATGTATGAAGATGAGTAATAAAACAGCAGTGTGACAAATGTTCTGAGTAACATTGATGGGATTTAACCCCCATTCCATTCAACTGAAATGTCATCCGAAAAACAGTTCCATTCATGTAACAGCCGCAGAGCTGACACTGGGCCCTTTCCTCCTCTCAGATTTACCGAGAACAGTGCGTTCTAAACTTGCTCCCAAACTAGCAATTAAGAAATTAAAAATTAACACGCATGTGCTTTATGTAATTCCGGTTCCGAAGTAGACCAGTTTCTTACACATTCCGAAGAAGTGCACTATTTGCTAAGAGTTCTAAATTGAGTTTTCTTTCATTCCCCACCCCCCACAAAGGCCCAGAAACTCATTGACTTTGCAAAACTGCGTCTTTGCTGTGTCAGTTAGTATGCAGTAAACGGAAATCAAAATTTGGCCCCTTTAGCTGTAGAATCATAATGGAGTGAGAGTGGAAGTGTTCTACTTGAAGATGCTGAGCTGATTCTGCTCTTACTGAATACACTTGTGAAACTCCTCTTAACAGACGACCAACAGATATGTGACGTGACTTCTCGAGCTTCTTTCGAACACAATAGCACTGAGAGTGGAAGACTGAATTGTGGAGCTGCTGAGGTGATTGTTCCCAGTGAGTTCAACACTATGAGTGAAGTCCCATTAACCGAAGGAAAAAGCATTGCCACGTGAATAACCAGGGAAGCCTGAAATTATAGAAAGCCGCTGATAATTAGCAATAGATATACAGTCAACTTTTAAGCTTTTTAAGAACACATTTTGAGTTGTTTTTGTGGCAGTTGTGGCAACAACTTCCGTAGCTAATTTCAGGGATACGCCTGATCGAACTCCGCTTGAGTACTGACACCTGGGTGCTGCACGAAGTTCTTTACCTCATCATGAATACTAGAAATGATCGCCGTGATTTATAAGGAGTGGGGGACACGCCGTCGATGTTGGTGCGTTGAGTCGAATTACCTCCTTGACCCCCTCGAGGCGACTTTGGTTATAGTTTGGAAATTCTCAGCATCCAAACTTTCAACGTTGAAGGCTTCGACCTATCCCCTTTCGAATCCCCGAGTTCCCCCAACTAATAAGCCACAAAGACTGAGACTGAGACCGTCAATACAACAATATCGCTTCAGTCCTGTACAGGTCAGATCTAGAGTCATTCGCCAAGAGCGAAAGCTGCAACCCTGTGCGTCGTTCCACCGTCAGCTAGCGCTGCAACAGAGTGTTCCCCTTACGGTCTATGTACGCCGTGAAACCACTATTGAGGCGAGAATGCCTAGTGAATGAGCTGTCGTCGGAGCAGCAACTCTAGAATACTGATAAATTGAAATTTGCGGAAGCCACGTTTGTCACAGGGTCACGGAAGATTGTACTACCGTAATATTTTTCTCATAACTTTCTTTTCCTTTTTTCACCATGATATCACGGTTCCAAACTCTCCCTCGTGTGGAGAGGCATGACAAAAAAGGGGAGGATAAAGTTATTGAATATCGATTGATTTTATTCGTGGGAGTTTCTCTTTATCGACTTTATCTTTTCAGACACCATTACTGCTAAAGCATGAAAGGATAGAATCGCAGTGGAGCTTTGAATAGATATGTCACTTATACATACAAGGCTTGCGATGCTCAGTCAATGTGCACGTCTCTGTTTTTACCCTCTCAAACGAGTCTGGTGCTTATTCCCACACTCCAGATTGGGGGCTTGGTTTCCTCGAGTCTAGGTCGATCCGGAATCTGTCAGATGGTCTGCGCGTGATAGTGGAAGTTACTTGTTTTATAGTCCATGTTTGGGTGAAATAGTGGAACGTACGAGATAAATAGTTAGAATCCATATTCCTTGTTTCAGAGTGCATCTTTCGGCGGCATCCAATAGAGACTTTGTGACATCACTGACAACATCTTCTCTCTTTGACCGTAGTGCTCTGTAGCTGAAGAGGTAGAAAATGGAAGACGTCAGTGGGATGGAGTAGAAGATGAAGCTTGTAATCTGCAACGAATTTCAATTTTTTCGCTCAGTCCGCTCTCAATGTTGGAAAGTTTGAAGCAAAGCTTCTGACGATGTTTCCTGAACTCACTTCAAACAGTATACAATTACTAGCGTAGTCCGTGATGGATGCTGGGTTGAAAACTCTTTGCAATCCACTCAGCACGTATATAAGTATAGTCACCATGGCAGAAAACAGCAGAAGTCCAAATAATATGCTGATAAGGGTTTTCCTGAAAAGAATGGCGACTCAATGAGGACCCTTAATGAAGGGACTTTTCAAAGTTACCTTTTCATGAGTTTTTCGTTGAGGTATGGCGAAGAGAATGCAGCAAAGCGGTTAAGTCCCAACAGGAAAATGAGAAAAGCGGAGAAATACGAGAAGAGAAGGTCTACGTTCGCAGAGAGACAGTCGAATAACTTGATGTGCAACCCTGCCATGCCGGAAAGTAGGTAGATGAGTTTACAAAGGCTGCTTATTACAACGCTCAGCGAGAATACAAGCACTATTGTGTAGAAAGAGTGCTGAAATGGTAATATCCATGAACATCTACAGAAACCGTCGAATACGGTAAAACGCAGCAGAACGCTTACCCTGAACGTCCGATGTCGTTCAATTACGCTGACAGCACTGAAGACAGTATTAATTGCAAAACACATAAAATTACAGAATACGCTCAGGTAGAACCAAACCAAAAACGACTTCGGACTCTCTGGAGTGAACACGAGTCCGGATTCTAAAAGCAAAATCTGTATATAGAGGTCATATCAAGACCTATGGGGTAACTGTCAATTAACTAATTCTAACTGACCTCCTTTACCAGGTAGAGATGCATCGCTGGAATCGTGGGGTTTCATAAACATGGCTCGTGTCTACTATCGCACGTCGACCTGAAGCAATGCTGTTACATACAAGCATTTAAGAGCAATTTCTTCGAGCTTCAAGGGCTTAGAAGACAGAGGCTGAATTGTAGTAAAACTTGAGCATACGCCTCGTCCTTACGTTGAAAAAAGCTACAACTTTTTTCAATTAAGCATACCCATAGGAGGGTATGGTGGCATGTCTAGTCAAAGAGGATCACGATCTTAATCGGTAGAAAGATTGCAACTGGGTGCACCATCTTGATCGTTGAAGATCATGAGTGTAGTTCATAGAAAAAAGCTGTGAGTACGACTGACGGTAGCAAGGAATTATTCCACTACCACTCACATTGGTACTCATGAGTAATTAAATGTGTCGGGTTGTTTAGCAACTTCTACGTCAGTAGAAAGCATTATCAGGTGGCATTAGGCTGTATTGTTAAGCAAATTGACATGAAAACAAAAGCAATCACTACCACAGGAAACGTATATGCCAGATGCAATTTTTAATACACAGTTATAAAAGAAACTGAAGTCTAGCTCCATCATTATCGAGAAGTGGTTTTGGAAGATAGTAGTGTGACAGACTTCGCTTCATCATGTGTATCAAGTGAATGATGGAGCTACAGTCAAGCACAGTAGATCTCGTCCTTCTGAGACCGAAACAATGAACTACTGAATTCCTCACTTACTTTGAGGCATATTTCATAGGAAACTTTTGTGAAGTAGACGCGTTTTGTAGTGACAATTAATATTAGTACCAAATGGTGTACAGGATCTAATCCAGGTTTTGTGCTAAATACCCCTCCGGTATAGTCGACAACAGGATTATGTGGTCTCCTACTTGTGAGGGTTTGTAGGGAGAGGAAGCTCCACCACCTGGAATACAGTATATGTAAGTGAGCGCAAGCCAAAGGGAGATTGATCAAGGCCACATACATTATCCCCCTTTCTTATATTAGTTCGTGGAAAAAGGGAAATTGGATGTACACTGTGAGGGTCATTACTCTTCCATGCTCCCTCCACAACACATAGACTGGACGGGCAAGAGATAGGAAAGTTACCGCAGTAGCCAGAAAGGCATCTTCCAAGGTAGACATCTCCACCGTCTCTATGTTTCCCTAGAGCACTTTCCAAGAGGTTTAAAGAAAAGCCAAATATCAAAACTGTTGTGTTACTGTCCAACATCAAGGAAAGGTGCGTTGCGTAAGTAAACAAGATGATGTGAAAGAAACTTTTCTGTGATAGTCTCGCTGTGCTCCAAGAGCAAGGTGATCGGCCAAGAGTTCGAGCAATGCAGAGCAAATGTCGGAGTCCGACAGAACAGCTCCTAATAACCACTTGGTTTTTCAACTACGATATCATGTAATTATATGTACCGGGGTAGCAATTTAGACCGACCACGCGCTTTCTCGGCAGATTACTCTTTGACTTATTTTTGAGTATCAATTATCGCACTTCACCTTGTGCCAGGATCGGAGAATGGATTATTCGTCAGATTTCTTATTTCGAAATTTGAGCTGACTTAGATTCATTGCTTATTAGGTCGAACACTGAACCAAACATCATTTAAGTGGATGAAATGTTTACTAAAGCGTAGATTATAAGTACTGAACAAGGCACTGGGAAATCACTCATCTGAAGAGTTCTACAGATGTATTTAATGTGAGCACTCCAGCAGAATTTATTACAACAAATTATTCGAGCGCGTTCGAGGTGGACGAGATACCCACGCAGTGTACACTGAAGA